CATCCTTATGTGGGACTCCGTTAGCATATTATCATAATTACATGGTTTCCATGTTTGTGAATGGCTATGACTAGTATCAGTGGCATGATTATTACTGGTAGTAGCAGTATTACGATTATGGCTCGTCATATCATATATTGGTATTGTTGCCATGTTTCTGCATTCGCGTTCTTATTGTGACGACGAGTCTATATATACATGCCAGTAACTGTATATGCTTATGCATACGCGTATATCTGTATATATATATATGCACATACAACTTTAAATCTATATGTATGTATAGGGATATTATTACGTATATGCATATACATATATGCATACGTCTATGCATATGTGTATGCATATGTATATGACTATGAATGTGCATAGTATGCATAGGTATGTGTGTATGTATACACATGTTTGCGTATATGACTGTGTTTGTATATATGTATAGTCATACGTATTTGTCTTTGTGTTTATATTTGTAGATTTAAGTATTCGTGTATGAGTGTGTATGTATATGCATCGGTATATGTATATGCATATGTATATGTACATGTATCTGTATATGTATACGTACACATATGTGTATATGTATTTGTATATGTGTATGAATTTGTTAACGTATTCGGACATGTATTGCTATACGTACATGCATATGTTTTTGTATATGTATGTGTGTGGGTGTGAGCATGTATACTTATACGCATACGTTTGCATATATTTGCACATACGTATATACATACATATGTATACATGTATGTTTGTGTATGTGTATTTGCACATACATGTATGTGCACGTATATGTATATGTTTCATATATATAGTATAGGCATATGTTTATGAATTTTGGGTTACATCTGTTGCTTTATATGTATATGTATATGGGTAAACAACTGTATATGTATTTATAATTGTGTATGTGGTGCATATACTTATGTATATGTTTATGTGTGTACATATATGCTTACGTAGGTCTGTATCTTTTTGTATATATACATGTACGCATAGGTTTATGTGTATATATATGGGCTTCCCCCGAACACGCATTCCTATATTTTTTCTTATGTTGAGGTTGTTTTACACTCCTCTTCCTTACATTCCCCTCCTTGCTCTACACTCCCCTTCCTTCCCCTCCCCTTCCTCGCTTACATCTTCCCCTGGCGTCAGGGGGGGGGGGGGGGGGCGTTTTTCGACTCCACTCGCGTGCGCGCTCTGGCCGCTAGGCTGGCCACCGCCCAGCAGCAGCGGACGGTAGACGATGCACACGGCGCCTTCCCCCGAAGAGGGAACTCAGAGCTTGTGGCAACCATTATGCACATTCCATGTGCCCTAGAGGCACCAGATCTTGTGCTCTCCGCTGCTCTCAGCTGCTCTCTGCTGCTTTCTGTTGCTCTATGTTGCTCCCTGCTGCCCCCTACTGGTCTCTGTTGCTCTCTGCTGCTCTCTGCTGCGCTCTGCTGCTCTCTGCAGTTCTCTGCTGCTCTCTGCTGCTCCTTGCTGATCTCGGCTGCTCCCTAGGCCTGCTGCTCTCTGCTGCTCTCTGCTGCTTCGGCTTTCTGCTGCCCTCTGCCGCTCTCTGCTTATCCTTGCTGCTTTCCGCGGCTCTCTGCTGCTCTCTGCTGGTCGCTGCTGTTCCCCGCTGCTCTCGTCTGCTCTCTGCTGCTCCCCGCTGCTGTCTGCTGCTCCCCGCTGCTGTTGCTCTCTGCTCTCTGCTGCTCCCTGCTGCCCTCTGCTGCTTTCTGCTGCTCCCTGCTGCTCTCCCCTGGTCTCCGCTGCTCTTTGCCAGTGTCTTCTGGTCTCTGCTGCTCTCTGCAGCTCTCTGCAGCTCTCTTCTGCTCCCTGCTGTCCCTTCTGGTCTCCGATGGTCCCTGCTGCTCTCTGCTGGCCTTTCCTGGTCTCGTCTGCTCTGGTGGAAAAGTCATGAAGGATGACCAGGGGTGAACGGCGGAATGCGCATCGGAGAGAGGATGCAGAGGCGGGGCGAACGAGCGGGGACGGATAAAGAGAGGGAGAACGACCAGTGAGAGTAACATTGAAAGCCTCAACGTTTGATGCAAAATTCACTGCCTGCTGGTGTGTGTGCATATGTATGTATGTATGTATGTATGTATGCATGTATGTGTGTAGGTAGGTATGTATGCGTGCATGCATGTATGCATGCATGCATGTTTGTTTGAATGTATGTATGGGTGTGTGTGTGTGTCTGCCTGGCTGTCTGTCTGTCTGTATGCATGCACGCATGTATGTATGTATGTAGGTAGGTAGGTAGGTAGGTAGGTCGGCAGGTATGTATGTATGTATGTATGTATGTATGCAGGTAGGTGGGTATGTATGTATGTATGTATGTATGTATGTATGTATGTGTGTATGTATGTATGTATGTATGTCTGTCTGTATGTATGTATGTATGTATGTATGTATGTATGTATGGATGTCTGTATATAATACAATCCCCTGGTGCTTAACGGCCGTTACCCGCCCCCCAAGGCGATCGTGCGTGGGGGGCGGGGCCTGCGCGCTTTTCTGAAGGCGTGTTCGTGGCCGCAGGCATGCTGTGCTGCTCGCACGAACTCCGCATGCTCCCTGCCAATGCTCGCAAGCGCTCTGCCGTTGCTCTCGGGGCTTGCGCAGGGGGTCGAATCGCAGGCCCACGTTTTGCTCGCAGGCGCAGCGTGGCGTTCCCGTCCCAGCCCTCCTCCCTGGGTAACGACCGTTCCGCGGACATAGTGAACCGACGCATTTTTCATCAGTTTTTTTCCGTCGGTTCTTGCAGGTCTTCTCGCTCCAGGGAGCTTGCCAGCAGCTGCGCCTCGCCGAGAGCGTTGGGTGTTCCCAAATCGCCCCGAATTTCGAATTGCGGCCCGACTTATGACCTGAAAGACGACCCGTCGGTGATGATCCCATCAGTCAGGAAAGTCCACCCTGACATCGTCGCGTGGGAAGGTTTTCGGTCATATTCCGCCTTTTGGGGCCCTCGCAAGACCCTGGGACAGTCAGAAAATGAATCAGGACGACAAGCTGCTCCCCGGGAAGGGGTCCAGTCTTCTGGAGAACGGAGCTGTCACAAAGTCACGACGTCGGACGTCGGGACCAGCATTACATGACCCATCCCAGCCCCAACCACGACAGGGTAGGTACCCATAGCTCCAGCGCTTAGGTGAAGAAGCGGCAAAAACAAACACATAACACTGCGCATAGTTTTTGCCGTTTTCGGCCTCTGGGGGGCCTTGCTGGGCCTTGTGACGGTGAGCAGAAACGCTCAAAGGGGCCTTGGGGAAAGGGGCTGGACTTCTGGGTAGCGTCGGATCTCCTGGGTGGCTCTTCCAGCGTAGCCCCTTCAGGCGGGAATGGGTGCTGCGAGGCTCGAGGCAGACAACATCCATCGTCACCTGGGGGCGGCAGGTCGGCCAGCGGGGCCATGGTTTCCCTGGCGGGGGTGGGGGAGGCTTTGTCCAGACTTCGAGGGAGGAGGAGGAGGAGGAGGAGGAGGAGGAGGAGGAGGAGGAGGAGGAGGAAGGAGGAGGAGGAGGAGGAGGAGGAGGAGAGGAGGAGGAGAGGAGGAGGAGGAGGAGGAGGAGGAGGAGGGAGGAGGAGGAGGAGGGAGGAGGAGGAGGAGGAGGAGGAGGAGGAGGAGGAGGAGGAGGAGGAGGAGGAGGAGGAGGAGGAGGAGGAGGAGGAGGAGGAGGAGGAGAGGAGGAGGAGGGAGGAGGAGGAGGAGGAGGAGGGAGGAGGGAGGAGGAGGAGGAGGATGAGGAGGAGGAGGAGGAGGAGGAGGAGGAGGAGGAGGAGGAGGAGGAGGAGGAGGAGGATGCAGGGGGGGCTCGGCAGAGCAGGCTGCCCCAGTGAGGCACCCTGATAGCAGCAGGAGCGAAGAGGCGGGTCGAGGAGCGGGAGGTCGTGCGAGCGTGCCGGGATATGGGTGAGAGCACGGCCATGTGTACCTTGATGGGACTGTTTTCCACCACCACCACCATAAGTTGGAGGGGGAGGGGGTCCTCCTCCGCCTCCTCCTCCTCCTTCCCCCTCCAAGTTATCGTGGTGGTGGTGGAAAACCGGCCCACCATACCTTTCCTGTGTTTTTGCAAGGGATCATGGCCGCCGGGGTCAAACATGGGGTCGCCTTCAGTGGGGCGAGGAGTACGATTCTTCAATAGCTTGTGGGGACGGGTCAGGTGAAACGGCCGCAGGACCAAACCTATCGGGGGACGGTCTCGGGCTTCCCGTCCCCCCTGTGGGTTTCTTTTTGTGGTCCACTCTTACTATTATTCGAGCCCTCTACCCAAGCGCTATTCGGGAAAAGCACAGACACCCCCCTGTGGATTGTTCCTGGGCCTCAGCGGAGGGTGGCGGTGTATACATCACCATTGAGGGCCTGCGACTTGATACACCGTCGTCCCGCCTGATGGTGCTGGAAAGCCTCGTCGGCGGGCGTCTGCGTACAGACTTCCGTGGCGTATTCCCTGGGAGGCCTTGTCGGAAGGCTCCGACCTTTTTCGAGGGGAAAAACACAGGGACCATGACGAAGATGTCGCGGGATCTTGTCGATGCCGATCTTGGTCATGGCCCATGTCGGCCGTCGCCAAATCGCGAGGATGTTCCACGAACTGACGCCGACCAAGATGGACGGGGACCAAGATTGAGACGACGTTTCCGCGTTCAGTCTTGGTCAAGGTCCCCTTTCTTTCTCCCCTCCGTTTTCCGAGGATCAGCCCATCTGCGGGCCCTGTCAGAAGGTCCGCCCCCCGTCGCCCCCTCTGATGGGCTTGTTTTCCACCACCACCATTAGTTGGAAGGGGGGAAGGAGGAGGAGGAGTAGGAGGAGGAGGAGGAGGAGGAGGAGGAGGAGGAGGAGGAGGAGGAGGAGGGAGGAGGAGGAGGAGGAAGGAGGAGGAGGAGGAGGAGGAGGAGGAGGAGGAGGATGAGGATGACCCCTTTCCCCTCCAACTTATGTTGGTGGTGGTGGAAAACAGGCCGATCACCCTCCTCTCCAGTGCGGCGCCGCCTCTCCGCAGGAGCTGCGGGCCGCCCTGGACGAGGTCGCGGAGGACCTGGAGGACGTCAAGGGCCGGCAGGCTGGGCCAGGGGGGGCGCCCGCGGAGGGCGGGAACCGTTGGGCCGCCAGGCTGGCTCGAGGCTGGCGTTTGCGTGTGCGCCCAGCTCGGGTCACGTCAGAGCTCCACATTCTTACACCCTTGCAGCAATCGACCAACCAGCCAATTCCTCTCCTCCTCCATCCTCGCTCCATGATTACACAACCTGACAATCACTCTCCTCTCTTCCCCGACTTTCTCTGGATTTTTTCCGCCATCTCATTACACACATGTGTATCCATATAAATAGTTATAGAGGATATACATACATATATGTAGTTATATATATATATATGTATGTACATACATGCATGTCTATACATCATATAAAACAAGTACATGCAGGATTACCGATCATACGATTTCTTTGCTGTTTTTCAAAGCCGATGTTTTTTTGGTGTTTTAGAACGGTGCTCCTATTGCAGCGTTCGGCCCATTTCAGGATGGGCGCTTTGAGAGAGGTGCTCTCGCCCCAGCGCGGGTTTGATTTTTACATCGGAGCCCTTCCTCGTCGTTGTCCCCCCCCTTTCCTCTCCGTCGCCTTTCCCTGGTCTTCCACCTCTCTCTCTTCCCGCTCCAGGTCGTGCAAGCGCCCTCCCCCCCCACGCACACGCGCCAGAGTGCAGGTCGCACGTGGAAGTCCCTCCCGCCCCCCATCCTCAACGCCTGGGGGGGGATTGCGGTCGAGGACGGGCTGAGTGGACTTCCGATGCCGATGAGGAGGAGGAGGCGGAGGAGGAGGATGAGGAGAAGGAGGAGGAAAAGGAGGAAGAGGAGGAGGAGGAGGAGGAGACATTCAGCAGTGATGGTGTAATACGCCTTCCGGTCCCAAGCCACCTCTTCAGAAATCCCTGCAGACATTCTTTTCCACTGCGGGACGCACCCCCTGGTCCCAGTGCCCCCGGGTCCTGCCAGTCTGGCGAGTGGCTTGTGCTGGAAGGAATTGCTTTGAGGAGCGCGAGAGGACCAGAACATGAAGGAAGTGCTCCGCGAGATCACCGTTTCGAAAAGGGGCCGCTGTCCGTACGTTTTCTTCTTGCACAATCCTACGTGCCAGGTCGTACATTCGAGGACGTCGCAGTCAGAGCCGTATCTAGGACAGAAGCCTGTCCTCCATCTTTTATTGCTGCATCATGCTCCATGCCTGGTAGTAATGTTAAAGGAGGTCTCCAGCGAGAGCTCCTTTTTGATCGGCTGCTGGCCTCCTTCTTCGTAGCTACATGCTTTCACGTCGGGCCGTATCAGCAATTCAATTGTCATCGTCGTCACCATCCGAAATCATAATTGCGTCAGCCCCAGCAGCCCCGTCATCTTCGAATGCAGGTTGTAGCATGGGGTCCGTCGTGTCTTGTCAAGTCTCTTCCTCCTCCTGAACTCCGCTCTGCATCATGCTGCTGCCTTGTTGATTATGGAATTTCCAGGGCATCTTTGCGCATGGGCTGCTGCGTGCCATGGTCCTCCTCAAACCGCCGAATCAGCCCCACCTCCGCCAGATGTTCCTCTTCGAAAGTCGTCGTCGGCGAACCCTGCAACGCGTTCCCCTACCTCGCATCCTCGTCCATCGCAGGGTGCGGCTCGACACTGTCAGAAAGCTTGGCAACGGTGCCCCCGTTGAGTTAGCTTCTTCCGCCAGCGCAGACGACCCCCTCCTTCCTCTCCCTTCCCTCCCTCCCTCCTTTCCTCCTCCTCCCTCTCCCTCCTCCTCCTCCTCCTCCTCCTTCTCCTCCTCCTCTTCTTTCTCCTCCTCCTCCTCCTCTTCCTCCTCCTCCTTCTCCTCCTCCTCGTCCTCCCCGTCCTCCTCGTCCTCCTCGTCCTTCCCTGCCTCCCCTGCCTGGCCGCCGGCGCAAAACGTCAGAAGGCTTGGGCTCGTCGCCAGGCCCTTCCGAGGCAGGTGGTGTGCGGACGGGAGGCCGTAGCGCACTCTGTATAGCAGACGCCTGCGCACGAGGAGCATCCTCGGGCTGACCCTCGTCGAGCTCGCCCTCCTCCAAGGAGGAGGAGGAGGAGGAGGAGGAGGAGGAGGAGGAGGAGGAGGAGGAGGAGGAGGAGGAGGAGGAGGAGTAGGATGATGATGTTGATGATGATGATGATGATGATGATGAGGAGGAGGAGGAGGAGGAGGAGGAGGAGGTGTTAACATGTAAGCATTCAGGTGACTGGGGAGTGAAGGTGACCCCGTTACCTTTGGCTCAAGTGTTTAACGGCTGAAGCTACCGAGACTCGCTTCGCCGTGCGGAAGTAAAAAGGTGACCGATCGTCATCGCTGTCACCGAGCTCCCGTGCAGAACCCTCCTCGGGGTTTTGCATGGTAGCGGAGCGCGGTTGCCATGGCGGCGGCGGCGGCCGCTGCAGCTAGGCCCGCGCAGGGCGACCCGCCGGTCAACCTCAACGTGCCGGCGGACAGAGATGCATGGGTCAACATGGACCCTAACCGCTTCAACGACCTGTGCGAGCAGGCGTACCTGAACGGGGACTTCAGTTACTTTCAGACGGCGTTACTTGCAAATCATTATGGACTTGCGACGTTCATTAACGAGCGAGTAACACAGGACCGAAGGGAAGTATCAAACGTTGAGGCATTTCAAATGTTACAGAGCGCTCAGAAGACCAACGGCATGTTGTTAGCGATAACGAAGAGAAGCGCTGCGCTTGAAAGGGATGCTCGCAGGTTGGTAGAAAGAGTTACCGAGTTGGAGACCAACAGCGAAGTACAAGAGAAGTTAATTGAAACATTTGGTCAACTTTCGGAAGCAATCAAAAGCGGAAGCGGAAGTAAGCTCGGGAGCGGTAAACCGATAAGCGAGTACAAAGCATTACAGGCGTTAAAGAACTTCAGTGGAGAAAGAGCAAAGTTCAGAGACTGGAACGACAAGTTCTTAAACGCGCTTGCCCAAGTAAAACCGATTTACCGACCGGCACTGAAAATGTGGAACAAGAAGTTGGAGACACTCGACGGAGTTGTCCCAGAGGAAGATGATGATGATATCATACGCATAATGAGCGGTCGGTTAACAGCAAGCGAATACTTAAAGGCAAACCAAGCTAAACAAGCAGAGGATGACAACAAATGAGATTATGAGTTTACCGAGGGAGACAAAACTCAAATGGAGGAAGACTTATGGTACATCCTTAACGAAAAGCTTGAAGGTGCAGAAGCAAGGGGAAAATTAAAGGGACTCATGGATGGTGACGGAATTATGGCTTGGCAAAAGGTTTACAAATGGTACTCGGCTGTTACCGGAGCGACCCTTTCCTCAAAGATGACGCACGCTATGAACCCTGCGCCGCCCAAGAAAATTACCGATGCCGTTGCCCGACTTGAGGAGTGGAGCGCGTTAGCGGAGAACCTTGAAAAGTATGGCAAGGATTACTCACTGCCCCTCCCCTTTAAGGTTACCGCGCTCAGGGCAATAATGGTGCATGCGAATGATTGGTTTGACGAGTGGCAGCAGGCGTGTTGGCGGACGCCCGACGCACTTAACATTGACTCGTTCCAAAAGCTATATTCCAAGTGTGAAGATTGGGCGCGTAAAAAGAAGCTCGACTCAGACACTAAAAATAAAGATCCGATGGACATTGGAAATATTAACGAGACGAGTCAAGGGTCCGAAAATGTTTGGGACCAGACAGGATGGGTTGACGAAGATGGAAATTGGTGGCCAGAGGGCGGATCTTGGAGTTACGGGTCCTGGGCTAATGAAAGTGAAACTGGAGATCATGAGGAAGTCGACGCCGTAAACAGGGGTAAAGGCAAAGGCTCAGGCCCCAAATGTTACAATTGCGGAGGCATGGGTCATTTAGCCAGGAACTGCACAAAGCCTAAACAGTTCACGAAAGGAGGCAAAGGTGGCAAAGGCGGCAAAGGCAAAGGTTACCGTGCCACCTATGGATCCTACATGAAAGGTAAGATTGGAGGCAAACAAGGTGGTAAAGGTGGCGGCTCGTGGGGTGGAAGTTACGGTGGCCAAGGAAGATTTACCCCCCACAGCGAGCGTGAGTGCTACAAGTGTGGCGCTAAAGGGCGCATTGCCGTTAACTGCCCAGGTCCCAAGAAGACCGCCAACGAAGTTGAGCAAGAGAGACCAACGGTAAACGCGGAAAGTAAACAAACCACCTCGTTTGGCCAACCGCAGCATGTGCTCAGTGTTGAGATGAATGATGAAGTGAACGTGCCACCGGAACCGCCCACAGCTGAGGAGATTAACGGACAATGGGCACTGCCCTCGCATTCCAGAGAAAATGGCGCGTAAAGTCGCAGTGGACCTGAGAAAAGCTTACCAGGAGCATCAGTGTAACGGGAACTGCAATCATGTAAATCAGTGGGGCCAGAGGATAAGTAAAATCATAAAGCAGGAAAAGAGTTGGTTGGAGAAATGTGGAGAAATTGGGCTAATCGAAACGCGAGACTGTGATCCAGAAATTAACGCGGTGCCACCTCAGAGTACAACGCACGAAACAATCGTGGTTACCGTGGACTCTGGAGCGTACAACACGGTAGGGCCCCCAAGAATAGGCACCTACTTCCCCATTAAACAGACAGATGCGTCAAAGCAGGGAAGACACTACAGCGCGGCAAACGGAACGACGATAAAGAATTACGGGCAGCGAGTAGTCACCGGCAAGAATGAACATGGAAACTCAGTCAGCATGCCAATTCAAGTGGCGGAAGTCAACAAAGTTCTGGGATCTGTCAGAGAAATGGTAAACGCTGGAAACAGAGTTGTATTCGACAAGGACCTTAACGGGATATCCCTGAGTCATATTATGAATAAGGCAGGCCACGGGTAAATGTACGGCCATCCACGAGAAGAACGGCGCGTTCCAGTTTAACATCATGGTGCCGAAGGGACCAGTGGAGGCTGTCAAGCCCAAGAGTGAAGTAAACGCAGCTGAGGGTTTTCCGCGGCCGGGAACCCTCGAGGCGGACCTGTTCTACTAAGCCCCTCATTGCCCGTAAGACCAAGCGAAAACTTAAACGTCTT